ATTTTTGAAAGTTGATTTGCCCTACCCAATCAAAAAAATAAATAAAATTATAAATGTGTATATATATATATATATATATATTACACACACAATTTATTCTGAACAGGCTATGAAAGCAAAAAAAGAAAACAAATACACTTCAACACCATTTTTGGCATCGCAGCACAACACATATCTGTGCATTAAGGTGGTGCACTATAACACAGGTGCACTTTATTTTTCTGTATATGAGCCACATAATGCGGATTTTACCATGCATTACCGCATATCACATGCTCATATGAATGAGTCTTAAAATGCTACAGTGAGGGCCCATTCACACTTGCATTGCATTCATTGTGAATGGCACCCAAATGCATTCTACAGAAAAGCCTAATGCAGGGCACAAGAATGCAAATATTGTGCTGCATATACTGTATATGTTAAAGTCCAGTAAGAAAAGACAAGTCTGTGTTTTTGTTTTTTTTCTGCCAGGAACATCCCAGTATTCCAGGTCACCTGTCTCACATCATCTTTCCACGTCACCTTTAAGTCAGCTGGCTCTCATTATCTTAATTTATGTCACTTAGGGTGGTGTAATAACCTGTTTAATTTTGGAACCACTCCTATTTGGAAGTTGTTGCTATAAATGTGGTATTTACCTTAACTACGCTGATGATTAATTTGTTTCCAGTAAAATCTGATTGTAGTTTAAGGCTAAAAAAATTATAATATACAAAGACTACAAGAGAGGGGTCGACCGATTATCGGATCTACCGATTTATTTTGGCCTATATTTACACATTTTTTAATCTGTATCTGTCTTAAATTTACAGATATTATCAATAAGTGCCTCAAGTGTGCCTCCCACAACCTTCCAGTAATTACATTGTGCCCCCACATCCAGTGCCTCTAGTGCATCCTGGCCCATTCCGCAGCTAGCAGCTGAATGTAAACCGGCAGTGGGTGGAAGCAATATCCAGCCTGCTATTGGCTATTTCAAATTGCAGTCAGCCTGCTATTGCAAGTTCTCTTAGGTCCGCTCCTCTGTTGATTGACAGCGGTCAGATGCAATGGCCAGCCTGCGATTGGCTCCCGCCAACTGCCTGCTGTTTACATTCAGCTGCTGGCTGTGGAATCTTGCTGCCGGCAGATGATCGCATAGCCCGGTAAACTACCGGCGCAAGATTCCGCAGCACCTGTTATGGTCGTGAAAGGTTGCCCATAATCTGTATTGGTTCTCAAAAAATATTATTGGTTGACCCCTACTACAAGAGGATAATGGATTCAATAATGCAGGGAGAATGTACAAATTATATGGATCCTGGTTGGAATAATCCTAGGATCTTATGATCCCATTCACACTTAAATATTTTGTTGAGGTTCATTAATGTTCACATTCTATTGTTTGCCATAATGTGTGTTTGTGTTAAGGCAGCTCTTTCATTATGAATAAGCTGCCAAAGCTTCACAATGGATGAGAAAATGTATTTTTATTTATTTTCTTTTGCAGTGCAGAGTACCACACTGCACAATATTGTAAGTGCAGTGGTGTGCTGCATTGGGCTTTACTGTAGAATGCATTGAGGTGCCATTCACAATGAATGCAATGCTCATGTGTGAATGGGCCCTCAGTGTATCGTTTTAAGACTCATTCATATGAGCATGTGTGTTTCGGTATGGAAGCCACAATGCACATATACAGAACAATAAAGCGCACTTGCGTTATAATGCACCATCAATATGCACAGATCTGTGTTGCACTGTGATGCCAAAAGTGTTGAAGTGCGTAGGTCTTTTGTATTTCAGAATCTGTACTGAATTAATTGGCTATCTTACTGAACACACAAAAAAATAATGGTTAATGCACAATAAGGCGAAGGAGCTCTCGTGCACATAACTACAGATTGTTTCCATGTGAAAATAAATGCATGTGTGAAAACGTGACTGCAAAAACCCAGTATCCGTAATATGTGGGCTTCTAGTTGTTTGCATTTCTTCTTGCAGCTCAAAAGCATACTAGTAGGTCAATGGGCTTCTGATTATTCTGCACAGAAGAAAAGGTTGATTTTTCTATAATCTATATCTTGGAAACAAGACTCAATTGACAGTCAAATTAGGGCAACTATCCACAATTTAGCTGAGTCAATGTTGAGACAACAGCATTTGACAGATAAACCAGTAAGTTCATTTCATCATATAATTTGTAGTTGATTTTCCTGTGTAATAATATAGATGATTTATTTTATGGTGACCTTGCCTACATATTACTTTATAACAGTTTACTGGGTCTTTTAACCAGTTTTAATTTAAACTTTTCTTATTCCTAATATCTCAGTATAGGTATAGTTTTAACTATAAGCATATTCTTTTCATAAATACAACCAATTCTAGCCGTTTTGAGTCCAGAGTTCACTTTTGTTTTTACATTAATCACATACATACAACCAATTTAGATGTGAAATATATAATATATAGATGCAAACTGTTGCTTCATTAGCACTCTATATGTGGATGGGTATGCAGGGTAAACATATATTTTTAGATTTTTTTTTATTTTTTTTTTTACTATATTGTGGGTTTAACTAAAAATATAGCAAGGTAACGTATTGCTTTTTCCTCCCAAAATCGGGTACATTTCTTTCCTTCCTTTGCTGCATTTTTAGTAAATATCCTAAATTTGTGTTTCGCTGGTGTTTATATTACCTATTTGCTGTCCGGAAACAATTTCTTAATTTTTGCACACAAAATCTGAATTTTTGGCTAGAAAACATCTTGATGCCCTCAAACAAGTATATATTTTCTGAAAGCAGAGGCCCTGTAAAATGAAAAAATGCTAGTTGCAATTTTTTTATGTCAGACAATATTTGCACAAATGTTTACCAAACCATTATTTTTAAGATAAAATACACTAAAATGAATATTACTGCACAGAAACAGAATATAATACCCATTTTGGTAAAATATAAAAGACGGGGTCACATCAAGGAAATGGATATCAAACATGTCAAGCGTTACAATTGCGTGCGCCCGTGCAGTGGCAAAAAATTATGGTACTCAAAATTGTCCATGGGCGACGCTTTAGTGCTATAATGCAGGGACTAACAAGCCCCTATGTGACAGCATTTGGAGGTGACAGGTTCTCTTTATGGAGACATCTGTCCTTCAGTACAGTATAGGCAATTGAGCACAGCATTGCTCCCGATCCCCTGTGTAAGCAGTATTTCAGCCGGCTTCTGAGAGCTGTGACTCAGCAAGCACTGTGAGCACACAATGGACGTTTATGAATGTCGGGCGGTCCTGTATAGGTTAATAGTGCTAGTTGTAGTCCTTTGCTACTGTAATCCTTTTTCACCATCCATATGTGCATTTTGAATGCAATGTCTTTTTAGGCCCCCTTCACAGATTCATAAATCTACTGCCCAGCATATAGCTGGGTGACTGGTGTTTTGCGTGGCACTTCCATCACTAGATGGTACTGGGTAGTATAGGAATTTTCTATGCTCCTTGTGGCTGTAGTGCCGTGCAAACGGAATTCACCCAGCTATACGCTGTGCAGAAGATTTCTAAATCAGTCCAATTGTGCTGTGGAGCAGTGCATTAAAGCACATCATGAATTAACATGCACAGTGTTAAGGCAATTCATCTATTTTGAACGCACCAAAAACCATATCTATAGAAGGTTTTTAGAGCAACACATGACATGTGCGTTACAATGTAGCCCCAACTGCCCCTACTACTGCTGTGCCCCTACTGTATTTTGTCTTCAGATCTGGAGGAAAGTCTGTGTTAAGGTGCCCATACACTGCACGATTATCGTATGAGAATCGCGGGAAATCCCGCGATCGTACGATAATAGTGCAGTGTATGGAAGACGTGCGACCATTTCTACTGTACAGTCGCACGACTTTTGTATTTCGAGCATGTTGGAAAACCAGCCGAGAATCGTACGATTTTTTGCTGGTTTTTAGCATGATCGAGAGATAACTGCCTAACGGGCCGGTGTGCGCACACTGCCCGTTCAGCATTGCAGTCATCGGAAGCCCACCCCTCAGGGGTGCGGGCTTTTGCGATGATCCCAAGTACGATCTGCCTGTCCAAGATGGGCAGATCGTACGTTTTTCAAATTACTTTACAACCCTCGCAAGACAAAAGTCTTGCGAGGGTTGTAAAGTGTATGGCCACCTTTAGAGGTATATATTTCAGTATAGTAGGGGCTGCACCTGTCATGGTTCCTGTTACTGTACATCATATATTCTTGATGAGGTCTTTGGTAATGCTTTATTTTCTTTTCTTTATATTTACAGCCCCTCCTGTGACGGCAACAGAAAAGGCTGCCAGTGCACCACCTGCAGATGCTCCTGAAGGATTTGTAGACGACTTCAGAGTTGGAGAACACGTATGGGTTAATGGCAATAAGCCTGGATTTATCCAGTTTCTTGGCGAGACTCAGTTTGCTCCAGGCCAATGGGCAGGTATTGTTTTGGATGATGCCATTGGTAAAAATGATGGAGCAGTTGCTGGAGTCAGATATTTCCAGTGCGAAGCCTTGAGGGGGATTTTTACTAGACCTTCAAAGCTGTCACGGAAACCACTTGAAGATGAGACTAATGGTGCACAAACCTTATCCAGAGCTACCTCACCAACCTCGGTGTCTTCTGCAAATGTGTCCCCTGTCCCTGCAGCTACCCCTTTTAAAAGTGCTGCATCATCTACTAAGGAACCTTCTACACCTGCCCAGCTGAGTAACCTCACCCGGACAACAAGTGACTCAATTTCAAACCTTTCAGAAACTGGGTCAGTCAAAAAGGGGGAACGGGAACTCAAGCTGGGAGATAGAGTTCTAGTAAGTTCCTTTTTATATTACATCTTAATGCTTTTTCTTTGAAATAATATTTTTACGACCTAAACTGTGGCTTGGATAGATCAGACCAGTCCTTCTTAACCCAGGGGTGCCTTCTGGCTTTGTCAGTGGTGGCTTCAAATTTTCAGAGTGTTTAGCATGTCCGTGGTGCAGTCAGGCCATCCACCAGCATTCAGAAGAGGGCAGAATTCTGCCTTCATCCATACCTGCTCCACTTACTGCCCTCTGCCATGTGAAGCAAGGACTAAGGACTCTGATGTGAATGGAGCTTCTGATGTGAAGGTGGCTCATTATGTGACTAGGGGAAATCTAATGGGGGGCTTCTGCTGTGAAGGGGGGAACTCCATGTTTGTCTTTTTGAATGGGATCCCCTCTTAACATACATACTAGTCCACTATTTAGAATAAGGGTCAGGTTTAGATTTTGGGGAGAACCACACATTATTGTCTACATTTTAGACTGGAGTGCCTAGATGTGCCGTGACTAAAAAGGAATGCAGGGTTACACTGTTGCTGAGCTTCTCATTGCTGTAACGATATTTAGGTCACCCAGGATTGGCTTTAATATACAGAGCAAGGCTGCATTCATACCAGCATCTGTGCTACAGTGCTGGTGTGCATTCCCAGGCACATGCTGATGCGGTCTTATCGCAACACACTGCTTACCTTTTTTGTTTTAAGTAAGTTCTAGGGGTACAGTGTGGTGTAATGTAGTTGTACCACATAGCGACACTACGCTCTGAAAAATGCAGACAATATCTGGTTGTGTGATCTTAGCCCATTTGTAACAAAGCAAATGGTCATGTTTTTTTTGTATTCTGTATGTCTTAAACTTTTCTTTCTTTGGTTTGTGTAAGGCAATTTTGCTTTTTCTTGCATTGAGGCTGAATTACGCCTAAATCATGACAATATGGTAACATAGATTAAAATTAGAAATTAAGTACCCAAGAGGTAATAAGCAGTTTTAAATGACTGAAGTTGCCATTAGGGCTTGGAGAATCAGTTCTTACATTAGGATCATTTAGAGAGAGGCTGAACAAAAACAGCATCTCCTACATTCACTCTTTTTTTTTTTTTTTGAAAACTCCGTTTTTTTGTTTTTTTTTAATGAATGCATTTTAAAATGAGCCTGGGTACATGTGTTTCCACTGACAACAGAAGAGGCTTAAAGGAGAACGATGGGGTCAGTGCTTTTCCCCATAGTTCTCCTAAGGGTAATGGGAGGACACAAACTAGTGTCCTCCTGTCACCCAAAGCTCAGTATACCGTACTGAGACGCCGCAGCCGGGACGGACCCCAACAATACCGTCTGGATCCACCCAACTGAGTGAGTGACAGCTGGCTCTGCCTATCTAGAGGGAGAGCCAGCTGTACCCGCCCCCTCCCCCGTCCGTTCCGCCAGTCTGCGCTGGAGGAGCGGGGAGGGGGAGAATCCCTGCAGGGATCGCTAAGTGACAGTCATGGCTCTCTGCATGCACAGGATTGAGAAGTGAGCCAGCGCCGGTATGTGTTCGCTCACTTCCCGATCTATTGAGCCGACCTGCGACAGGTTCATTGTCACACGTCGGCTCAAACTATGAGGCTGAGTGATTTTCACTCGCCTCATAGTTCTCCTTTAAATGTAGACTATGTAAATTCTAACAATGTACTTATCTTATTAATTCCCCCTTTGGTCTGCTAAATATACAATTTAAACCATTTTGTTATCTGTGAAGTGCAAAAAAAACAAAACTGCTGATTCTGGCAGAAATCTTTTGAGCTGATAACTTCCTGCTGTACTCTCATTACTTAGCTATGTTCCCATTTTCCTCTGTGGACTAAAGAAAACACCTCCCTCCTACATTGACCACTCTGTACCTCCATGAATACAGTACTGTTGGTAAGCGTTGTCACCAAGTGAAAATAAAAGCAAAAAAAAAGCCTGGAAAAATAACCCAGATACAGCCACCACATCTAAGGACTGGTAATCTGCAATATACAGTAAACTCCCCGTTATCTGGCATCTGCGAGGATTGCTAGATTCTGGATAAATGTAGTTTCTGGTTGCTTGAGAGTTACTGTTTAAAAATAGGTCTAACTAATGCTATACCTCATACTATAACCATAAACTCTGTATTGACTTTATATTAATGTTGAAATGCAGTAAAAACAAATTAAGACAACATAGACACACTTAACGTAATGTCATAGATTGTTGACGAACCAATATTAAAATCCTTCATTAGTGCCGCACCACTCTCGCCTTTCTCAAGCCTCTTGCACATTTCTATCTTCTGCTTGAGGGTAAGCACTATGCGTTTACACTTACTTGGGACCTGGTTTTCCCATATTTGGATTGGGTGAGAACACAAAATTTCAATTCAGTTCAGTGATGTAATACTGTACTGTAGATCCCAGCCGACTGGAGGAAACCGAGTAAACAGAGGCGTGTGCTTACCTAGTGCTTGTTCACACTACTTAAAGCACGATTAGCTGCTGGAATGCACTCTATTGCATCCTGGCTACATGCACTGCACTGGAACGCAAGCATTGATGTGCCACGAGTTCTGGTGCGGGTGATCGCAATGCTGGTGGGAGGCGGGGCTACGGTGCCATTGACCTTAGCATGGCACATCAATGCTTGCGTTCCAGTGCATGTAGCATTTTTTTCTGATTGGACTGGAACGCAAGCATTGATGTGCCACAAGTTCTGGTGCGGGTGATCGCAATGCTGGCGGGAGGCATGGCTACGGTGCCATTTACTTTAAAGGAGAACTATGGGGTCAGTGTTTTTCCCCATAGTTCTCCTTGGGGTAACGGGAGGACACAAACTAGCGTCCTCCCGTCACCCTAAGCTCAGTATACCGCGAGCTACAGCTCGCGGTATACTGAGACGCCGCACCTGGAGCGGATCCCGACTTAGATGACGGGATCCGCCCAGCTGCGTGAGTGACAGCTGGCTCTGCCTATCTAGAGGCAGAGCCAGCTGTACCCGCCCCCTCCCCCGTCCGTTCCGCTAGTCAGCGCTGGCAGATCGGAGCGGGGAGAGGGGAATCCAGCCCCTCCCCCTGTCACGGCAGAGAGCCGTGACAGGATCGAGAGGTGAGGGAACCCGGTATGTGTTCCCTCACTTCCCGATCTACTGAGCCGACCTGTGACAGTCTCATTGTCACAGGTCGGCTTAGAACTATGACGTGAGTGGAAATCACTCATCTCATAGTTCTCCTTTAACACACCGTCCCACCCCAGAACGCAGGGGGCCGGCCAGGATGCGTTCCAGCAGCGAATTGTGGTGGAAAGCGCACTGTAAGTGGTGTGAACCACCCCCCGAGTGCCCTGTGTGGCCAGGGGCTGCCTGACAGGGGGACTGGGGATCTGTACGCTACTGTATGCTATCTTGAGCATACAGTGCTTGGAGTGATCACCAGGTAGCGCATACGCACAGCGCTCGATCACAGTGGCGGCATCTCACAGGGTAATACAGTGCTGTATCTGTACAGTGCGAACAGAAATCGAACTTTTCAGCCCCGCTCCTCCTATCCTTTTTATTCTACCATCCTGCAGAGCCCGCTCTCCCTCTTCAACAAGGTCGCAGAGGATCGGCACACTAACCAGGATAAAAGAAAAATCTAGTAGTTGAATGCCGGTTAACCGAGTTTACTGTATTGCTCTTTTCTTGGCTTTAGACTCCACTGTAATTTAAAACCCAGGAAACTAAACAACCAAATCGATCAAACAATAAACATTCAAACAACTCAAATATACCAAATACGTGCACCAATGTTCTAGGTAACTTAGGAGCTGCTTTAATACATTGTTTTAGAAACTCAACATTAGACACAATTGTTTTTCTGTACACTGCAAAAGTAAATGCACAATATTCTATACCCCTTACGTTTGACCTTTTCATGAATGTATTTTGTGTTGGACATGGCTTGTTCCATGTTATTTTTAGAGTTGCCAATCATTATGCAGAAACAAAACCAATTTTTATTTGGCTAACAGACCTGTCACTTCCAGTATGAATATAGAGCTGGGAGTTCTCATGGCTTTAGGAAAGAGCTATTTTTAGAGTGTCACTTGACTTGGGTAACTTCCTACTGACTCCATCTGTTATATCTGCTTTACTTTATCTGGGTATTTTCAGAGAATGAGCACGGCAAAGTCAAAGCATATCGGTATGTAAAATGGTTGTAGGACTTTGTGTCCAAAAAAAACAAAACATTGTCTGAAAAGGCTTTTACTTGTTTTTAATGTACGAAGGAACCTCCTGAAAACAAAAGTGTAGGCAGCTGCAAAAAGGAAAAAAAAAACCAATTATGTACATGTTGCAACCATCTTTAAATGTATTTCTAAACCACACCCAAGTCTGCCTTTTATATTAGTCTCCTGTAGTTCCCTGCAAGGCATGATCCAGACTAGGAGAGGAGTAGACAGCATTGCAAGCTATTCAGACTTTTACTTAATTACCAAGTGCACAGGGAGCTTCCTGATAGCACTGGGCTGGCCTCATCATTGATTTTCTACTCCTTTTTATTAGCAGACCATAGGTTGGGGGTGGTCCTTGACCAGGCCATATTGCTTTAGCCACTATAGAGCAAAATAATCGATTCTGGCAGTGGTGTCTCATACATATGCCTGGATCATACAACTAGCCAAATAAAATGACACCTTTGGCAGGTAAGACCCCTGTATTTAGATTTTTTTGGCTGTGCATTAAGCAGTCTGCCTTCCACTTTAAAGTAAAAACGCTGCCAAACACTCTACTTCTCTGGGAAGAGGGGACAATAGGCACACAAAATACCACAGTGTAGTGGTTTGAGTCTGAATGACTTGTAACTGGGCCCGATCATTTCTAGGTGGGGGTGGGCTTGTTTATTTTTAAATACTACACACACACACACACACACACACACACCCCAATTAGCCATAACATTATGACCACGTGTCTAATATTGAGTAGGTATCCCTTTTGCTGCCAAAACAGCAATGACCTGTCAAGGC